ATGTTGAGATTATGTACCTACATTATTTTGATTATAACCACTGGATGTCCGGATTAAAACAATAATAGCCAAAGACCAAACCGAACAATAGACAAGTGGCATGAGCCACATGAATTTTCTGGGTATTCAAAGAATACGAACACTGAATTCATATCTATGTACATTGAACTAAATTTAACAATTGAAGAAACCATTTTGATCAAAAAGATGAAAAACCAGCGAAAGCTGAAACTTACCGAAGTACTGAGGGACGGACCATATCCTGACGTCTATAGGAATCAAGTTGATTTCCTAATATAAGTGAACAATAAAAACAATAAATGATTTGTTTATCGGTTTTCCGCTGTTTTATTTTTATCTTTACAGGTACTTTCACGTAAAAAAATACATTCAGCAAAGAAAAACCAGCCCTAGAGTTAATCGCGGTACACGTGTCGCGACATTACCTACCAGTACCATACCTGGTACTCTAGTATATACTAGCGGTTTACGCCAATTGTGTTAGCTTTGACGGTGTCGTGGAGGCAACTGCATACTTCATAGTTAGTAAATAAAATTGTTCTTTTCAAATTAAGAAAAAATAACACTTTAATCAGGGACCGCAAATAACTATTTTTTTTTCTGCCGAAAAAAACATCCATTTATTATAACCGCACAGAAGAATTAAAAATACCTTTAGACTAAGAATAACACTACCCGACACGATTTTTCCTCAAGGAACCAAACCCATTTTTTTTTACAGATTTTGGGTTTTGAAATTGTTTGATAACAATTTTTTTCTACGGCAGAACAATACTTTACTAATTAATACATAAAATATAGAGGGGGCACAGCATATAATTTTCGACTGTTGTTCTGCCGTAGATAAAAAACATAATTCTTTAAATTGTAAGGCCCCGTATCAATCAGAAAAGGTCGGTTTGGTTACTTGAGGAAAAAAAGAGTTCGATTTTTTTCGAGTAGTGTTCCATGTCACCAAAATATTTAAATTGTAAGTTTTAAGGACAATCTTCGGTGATAATAATTATTTATATTAACTATTATTAATAATTATCCATAATAATTGTACAGTCACTTCGCTAGACTTTAATGTTAATCCTAACGAATTAATTTGAAGTATAATGAAGCTAAAATATTTACACTGTAAAGGATGATAGTTAAGATCACTCTATCTCTCTAATGCTCTCTATTATTGTACTCACTAACTCTTGCATGGTGAATAGCTCGTATGCCTAGAGTCCCATAAAGCGCATTGCAAATACTTGAAATCAGTTTTATAATATACTGAACGCACTCCACACCGTGTCTTTCGTTTTTGTTGCTGGTTCCCAAATAAGTAATCAAATTATTAATAATAATAAATAATAAATAAAATAATAATTTTATTAATTAGTAATATATTAGCTTGGCTCTTGCCTAACAATAACTATGTTTTCAGTTCTATTTTTTTTGATCCAACATAATTATTATTGATAATTATTAATAAAAGTTCATAAAAATAATTATTATCTCCGAAGATTATCCTTAAAAATTAAAAATTCTTTTTATTGTTTGACTTTTAAAATATATCTTAGTGATTAGGCCCGCTTCAAAAGTTAAATAAAAAATGTATTTTAAAGAAATATATCAGTCATCATTGTATAAAAAGCTATGACACCAAACACCGGGGCTCCGTTACTTACGTGATTTGGCGGCGGTGCGTCAAAACAGGCCTAAATCTGCGTGGCGTGGCGTTTTTTTGTTTGACCAACAAATTTGTTTTCTGTTTTTTCAAGTGGACACCCCCCACAATTCTGTTCTTTGTTATTCAATAAAACTATACAATTTATTTTAATTTTTAGTTTAATGTTTGGGAGTAGCTACCACGAAAAGAAAATACAAATTGTTGGGTAAATATACATTAAAAAAAATTTAATTCGTCGGTTTTTTCAAATAATATTGAAACTTGGAAACTAGTTCATATTGATAATAAGGTATTTTAATTTTTTTTTTACTGTTAAAAAATTAACGATTGGTGAAAACGAGAAGTTCAGCTGAGGTTGATATATTTAGTTAACTAGTTCGCAAAAACTTGTGCAGGTTTTTTACTGCCAATAACTGATTATTGACGATATGAGTGTTATCAATATATTTGCAATAGATTTCAACAATTACACTGGTCAACACGATTTTTCCTCAAGGAACAAAACCAACTTTTTATAAAAGATTTGGGGCTTAGAAATGGTTTGATGATATTTTTTTTTTTCTATGGCAGAACTTTTTGTTGAAAAATTTTTGAAAACTGGTATTTTTTTTTAAGCTTTTTTCAGAGGTAGCGATAGTTTTTTTCACCTAACTTTAGTACCTTATGTCTGGTTGTAAAGAACTTTGCTATTTTGAAAAGATAATTAAAACAGCTAGAAGTTAAGCCTTCCCAATTGGCAGTTGAGCCCGCAACCTTCCAAAAGGTATTCTTTTCTCATTTTTTCCATATTTTAGGTTTGGTTAACGAATTTTAGCTTCAAAGTCTCTCCATAGATTTTAATGAGCGATACCTTAAACGACGCCAAATTAATGCATCTATACACAAAAAAATAGAAAACACAGGATATAATTTTTTTTCGACTTTTCCTGAGTTTTTAAAGACAAAATTTCGTAAAAAATACCGCACAAAAATCATCATTTTTGCATTTCAATGCTTTATATTTCCCAGACGGTAAGCTGTAATCACAAAGTGTTTAGGCTTAACTTCTAGCTGTTTTAATTATCTTTTCAAAATAGCAAAGTTCTTTACAACCAGACGTAAGATACTAGAGTTATGTAAAAAAAACAAGCGCTAACTCTGAAAAAAAGCTTAAAAAAAAATACCAGACTTCAAAAATTCTTCAAAAAAAAGTTCTGCAATAGAAAAAAAACCATAATTCTTTAAAAAACTTTAAATCCTCATATCTATCAGAAAAAGTCGGTTTGGATACTTGAGGAAAAAAAAGTTCGGTTTTGTCGAGTAGTGTTATCCAACTCATTCAGCAAAAAAATTTTTTTTAATTTTCTTGATTATAATTTTTTGTAAAATTCGGTAGCAACATCCAATCAAATAAAAATAAAATCATATAAATTAATATTAAATCCAAGGTAAGGGGGTGTCCCGTTTGAATTACGTTTTTGTTTGGCCCAGCCTAATATATATATATGTAATCGCAATTATGTGGATAATTTTTAGAAAATGGGCAGAATAGAGATGGCTAAAACATTAAGAGAGAGAGCCAGACTGAGCGGTAGTTTTCTAGTTTACACCTATGTACTTCTAAACTTCCGTTTTATCTTTCTAGATAAAAGTAAAGTTTCTCACTCGCTCCGTCTGGGGGATAGACAGATTAGGGATTAGTGGCTGGGTCAGACAAGGATTAATGTTTTGTTTACTCTGGGTACAATAATGATCCTATCGGACCATGTTTCTGCATGCAGATATAATCCTTTTTATGATACTATGTTTTCGGTTTTTTCATATCCTTAAAATTGTTGTTGCCGCAGATTTGAGTCGTTTGAAAAATCGGACAAACATATTAGGTATGTGTTTTCCGCTATTGATATGAACTGGTCAAGAAATATTTCCTTCTGTCTATTACATACATACATATATCCAAATACAACTAATGTAGCCCTATACTCTTTTAATATCGGGTATAATCATGGGATAACACGATTTTATTTCTGAAACATGACAACAGATTTATGAAGTATCTCACCAAATAAATAATCATACCTTTATCACTATCATAGTTGATTCTCTAAAATTAATGTTTTTTAACTCTAATCCGATAGTCTATATGGTACCCAAATTATATATAAATTAAAGAACATTGCATGTTTTTTGTATATTAATCATAGATCCAGATGGACACTTGAAAACTTCAGTCGCACTTCCACCTTGAGCTACAAGCCAACCCAATCTGAAAAAAAAATGTTTATAATACAATGAATACAATAAAAAAAAAGAGATAATCATACAAATTTTGGTATATCATTTATTTTGTAACACGGTACCAGCGGCACGCTTAAAGCTCACATTCAAGAATATGATTTACAAATTTTGAGAATGCTGTATTTTTTCACATGGTCTTCAAAAAGCGGGAAAACCGCTGATGAAGCCAAATAGATAGATGATGATATATGATTGTTTTTAATATATTTTCCCATATTTAGTGAGCTCAATCTCTTTTTTGCACCATTTCATTCTCAGCCTATCAAGCAGGCTCGAGTTCTCACATTCACTTTGCGTTTTCATTTTCAGCAAAAAGTCATACTTTTTATTTCAAGGCGGAATTCACAGAAGTCGATTTATTTACAAAAATTTCTGTTGTTACCCCCACGCGTTAGTCCCAGCTCACACAAAAAGTCCTCTATTAAACAGAGATTTACCAATAAAAAAATCGGGCTGCCACGGCGGTTGGGAGGAATTCACTATTCGTTGCTGCCCAGACCAATTTTTTCAGAACCAATTTTGAGTTTGGTTTAAAAAAAAAAATATTTATAAAAAGGGCACATCCTGTATCAGATTTTCAGTTTCATTTGTTGTGCTCAAATAATCCATAATCTTTTTTGTCTAAGGAACTTGAATTGGTTCAGGTAATTTGTTTTCTTTACTGTTATGGCTTGTTTATATTCCTAAAATTGTTATTCTTATTGACTTTTTGTAGTGTTAAAATCAATTTAAATTTAATGAAATGAAGAAAAGTGTTTTACATTATATTAAAATTGAATGGCGTCACAAAATTCAAATAAACTACAAGCCAGAGTAAGCGCCCTAAAAAATATCGTATACAAATTGATCGAATTTAACACTCCTTGGTTTCAACAACTATCAACCAATCTAGATTACAATTTTGTTTGATTTTTTTTATTGATTTTAATGAGTTTTCAGAATAAGCTGCGTTATCCCAACATTTGATAGTTATTGTTCGTTTATCTTTTCCGATGAAACGGCTCAATACTGTTCCGGTAGTTCTAGACATTAAATACAAACTCACAACAACTATAACTATATTTTTCATCAAAACCAGGAACTCTAAGTTTTTATGGAAAAAACGTCAACACTAAACACCAAAATAAAATGCGAAAGCTGCTTGACAGAAAAAACTCCTTTTTGTGATCACATCTATTTTTTCATTTTCTAATTAAGATTCGTTTTGTAACAATTGAGGTAACAATTTGTTGAGGCGTTGATTCACCCTTCTACACCTGTTTTTGCTAAGACAGGGTAAGACACACTCGCTCTTCTGGTAGATAAATTAGACTTAAACAAAATTTTCCTTATCATCTTCACACATCTCTTCTCGTTGCATCTCGTGGTATAGACTTCCACCAAATTATTAAGTTTTCTGTTATATTTTTCAAAACTTGTGGTTTTTTTGTATGGAACATTTAAATTAAGTCTTGAAAATTAATTATTCAGGCCGGCTTCGGCTTTCACTTACTTTTGCGTTTTACTTTTTCAGCCAAAATACATTTACTGCTGCTATACCCATGCGTTAGGCCAGCTCATACAAAAAGGCCTCCGTTGTGTTTAACAGAGATTTGAATTATTGATAAGCAAATCTGGCTGCCACATCTATCCGGACGAATTCACTATTTGTTGTTGCACAGACCAATTTATTCAGATACGATTTTGAGGTTGGTTTAAATAAAATTCATGTCAATGCATCAATAAGTCATCTATTTTTTTCTTTTTGCAATTAATATTCGTTTTGTTGTATAAAAAGCCGTTTACTTTTCATATCGGCAGTTTTAGAACCGAAAAAATGTTTGCGTTTTCCGAATTCGGGAGCGCTTAACTTTCCGTTTTGGAAAGTATATCTGAAATTATTTGCGAAAGTAAAAACCGGAACCTGCCTATATACAATTATGTGGGTTGTGTTTTGCAAATCCCTAGACAAAACGAGCGTGAGCGAATTCGCTCCCAAGCGAATTCCCAAAGCACAACAGCAAGCACGACCGATGGCGAATTAAGACATCTGCACAAAGCAGATCGAGAAGAGAGAGGCCGAGAGAGTTTCGATCCAGCTGCCGACGTGAGAGGGTTGGGGAAAGAGACCAGACGACGAACGACGCTTAAATTCTATTTCTTGTACCAAATACTATATTTCAACATTTATTAAACTTACTATTAAACCAAAACCCCCACATTTTGGAGGCTCGTCCCGGATTTGAGCGGAAAATTTTTAAGGAACGCGTGGTGGAATTAAGCAAAAATTTATAAGTTACGGTACGACGACGGCGGTACAAGTTACGGAGCTTGAGAACAAACAAAAAAACGACGTGGAAATTTAATAAAGCGGAGAAAATAAAATAGACAATTTTTTTTTATTTCTTCAAAATGACATGTTTAAACGATTTAATTCCAAAAAGCCTTCGACGGGCAACGAAGTCAAGCATTGGTGCATTGCACAAATTCGTGTATGAACAAGAAGGAGACCGGAAAAACCGAAGTCGGTTGCGCGATTTTAGTGGTTTCGAATACGACGAAGACGACGCCAGATTTGCAGCAAAGCGCGTATATATGGGCATATCCGCGGGTCGCGAACGTACGTTCGCACGCTTTTAATGCACAAAAAAGATAGAAAACGAAAACTTTCCAAGACTTTTTTTCTGCGTTTCAATAGCATTTTGTTAGCTCTATGCTTAGTGCAAATGATGGGATTCATCGAGTTTTAGATTTTAAAATAATTTAAAAAAACATGCGGTCGCGAACGTACGAAAAATAGAAGTCGACTTTGACTAAATCTAGAAAAATGCAATTATCTGCGAATTGGAACGGAATATTCTAAAACGATAAATTGACTTTAAAAGAGGATTAATGTATCTTTCTATAAAGTATATTCACATAAAATTATCTCCATTGGTTTAAAAAAAATTAAATTAAGTACCGGTCGCGAACGTACGGGTCGCGAACGTACGATTTTTCCATATGTATTTTAAATTTTTTCTCCTTACGTTTCCCCTTGAATCAGTTCATATTTCATTTAAAACCAACTTATTACTCCATTTTATGTACGTAATAACATTTATAGTAAGAAGAGAAAATTGTATTTAAAATGAAAAAAATGAGCTGCTTTTTCGCGCAATTCATTAAACTTTTGTGGATCGCTTTTAATTTTATTGAGATATCGGGTCTGTTTTTCACTTGTTTTAGCCATCTACGAATATTTATATGCGTGTTAAACAATTAAAAGTAAAAGTAACAAATAAAAAAAAAAAATTAAGGTCGCGAACGTACGCTACTTCGAAAATCAAAACAAAAAGTTTGGTTAATAGTAACCCCAAAGTTTTTTTATATTTAAAATAGTTACACAAAACTTACTTTACACATGCAGTTTCACCCACCTGCTTGCATTCAATGCGAAGCAATTACAATAAAATGATGTTTTCGGTCGCGAACGTACGATTAGAACATAGATAAGAAGCAAAATAAAAATTAACCATTAACTGAAGATTTTTTCGGTCTCTTTGCATTTTTCTCTTCTTAACAGATTGCAATAGAGAAATTGGGTAGAAAGAGTGCAAACATATCAGATGTTTTGCATGCAAAATAATTAAATATAAAAATGCCTTTAAAAAAAGCCAAAAGTGAAGAAATCACATTTTTCAAGTTTTCAGGCAAATTTTCTCATGAAAACCACTGAGATATGCCATAAAACCATGGCATTATGAAAATTTGGACATTTCTTTATAAGAATACACAAAAAAATACGATGATTATGAACATTTTATTTTTCGGTCCTGGTTGACCATTCGGCGGATAAGCACATATACAAGCAAAGCTACATTGTTACATTGAACATAAATCACAATGCAGAAAATATGGCAATCCATATCTTTAGGAATCTGATGGAAGGAGAGCTGCTGCAAAACAACAACGACGATGAGGACAACGATGAAGACGACACTGATAAAGAGGACAACGAAGAGGGAATAGACGAAAACGAAGATCAAGAGAACGATGCAGAAGCTGTGCTTGAGAGACGCGGGAGTGAGCGAGAAAGCTATAACAACATGCACACAAGAAAGATCCCAACAACAAGTCGACAAAGGAATAGAGAACGAAGCAACGAGCAAAGGCAGAACTACGATGAGCAGGCCGCACCCCGTTTTGCCATAAGTTTTCGCGATATAGAAGAGTCTATCCGAGTGTTCGATGACTCTGATGATATGGCTGTCGAAGAATGGATACAAGATTTCGAGGAACAGGCAGAGTTCATGCGTTGGACAGATTTGCAAAAACCTATTTTCGCAAAGAAGTCGCTAAAGGGCATTGCACGACTATTTGTTTTGAGTGAAAAACATTTGAACTCATGGACAACGTTGAAGAACGCGCTATTGAACGAATTCAAGTCGAAAATCAGTAGCAAACAAATACACATGCAGCTCAACGAGAGTAAACGACGACCCAAAGAGAGTGTTTTGGAATATTTTTATCGCATGAGAGATATTGCTTCGGGAGGCAATGTGGAAAACGACGCACTTATGCAATACGTGATTGACGGTGTTGACGAGACGGCATTAAATAAAACAATTTTATATGGCGCAAAAATGATGAGTGACTTTAAAAACAAATTAAATGAATATGAGAAAATTACCGAGAAATTGAAAAAGAGTGATAAAATTGGAAGAGATAAAAAGTTGCAGTTTGGACAAAATAATACACAGGTTGGCAAAAAAGACATAGTTTGTTTCAACTGTGGAGAGAAGGGACATTTGTCTAACAGTTGCGCCAACAAAGGAAAAGGAAGAAAGTGCTTCAAATGTAATCAGTTTGGGCACATATTTAAAAATTGCAAGGAAAATAGTGAAAAACAAAACGATGAAAAACAAAACATGCGCGTAGTTTCAAATAAAACTGAATTAACGTCTAAAGAAGTTTCGATTAAAAATGCAAAGTGTATGGCATTATTTGACATTGGCAGTAAATTTAACATTATACGTGAAGATTTATACGACGAACTGCGTATGCCAAAATTAAAAGACTGCAGAGTGTGTTTGGTCGGTTTCGGAAGTGAGAGCAAAGCTGACAATATCAAGCCGATTGGTCAGGTGAACCATAGCATACATATTGACAATGAAGAATATGGTTAAACTTTTATGTTGTTGCTGCAAGATTCATGGACATAAAACTGATAATAGGGGAAGAGCTTTTTTTGCACGCAGAAATATCGTTTAATCGCAATGGAGTGAAATTGAGTAAAATGCCAAATGAAAATAAAGAAGATCCTTATGACGAATCGTGCATAATGAGAATCGACGTAGCGGTAGACAATTCTCAGCTGAACATAAGCAACGCGGTAAACGAGTTTACACAAAGCAAAGTACGCGAAATTATATCGACGTATAAACCGGAAAAATCAAAAACTACGAATGTTGAAATGAAAATAATTTTAAAAGACGAAACGCCAATATTTTCGCGGCCACGGCGATTTGCAATAAATGAAACATGCATCATAGAAGACCAGATCGACGAGTGGCTGCAGAAAAAGTTCACGAGTTCGGTTGTATTGGTGATAAAGAGCGACGGCACGCCACGTCTATGCATTGACTTTAGACGTATCAATAAAGTCATCATAAAAGATCATTTCCCGTTGCCGTTAATAGATGACCAGCTAGATCGTTTGCAAGACGCTGCAATATTCAGTACAATTGACTTGAAGAATGGGTTCTTCCATGTTCCTGTAGCCGAAGAGAGTAGGAAGTACACCTCATTTGTGACGCAAAGCGGCCAGTACCAGTTCCGCAAGGTGCCGTTTGGTATGTCGAATTCTCCCGGAGTATTCCAAAGGCACATTGGTGCAATTTTTCGACAGCTGACTAGAAAAGGAATAGCACTTCCATATGTTGACGACATAATCATTCAAGCCAAAGACGAGCAAGAAGCATTGACAAATCTGAAAGAAGTTCTCAAAACGTGTGAAGAGTATGGGCTTGAGCTGAATTTTAAAAAGTGTCATTTCTTGCAAACACGAATCCAGTTTCTTGGCCATATCATCGAAAATAAAAAGCTGTTTCCGACCCCGTTGAAGATTGAAGCCGTGTCTAAGTTCAAGACGCCGGAGACACTGAAACAGCTTCGGAGTTTTTTGGGTCTTACAGGCTATTTTAGAAAGTTTATCTACAATTACGCGGTTATAGCGAGACCGTTGACTGACCTTACAAAAAACAATGCAAAGTTTGTAATTGGCCTAGACGAAGAGAACGCTATTGGCGTGTTGAAGAAATGTTTGACATCAAACCCAGTACTAGCCATGTACAATCAGAAGTACGAGACAGAACTCCATACGGATGCATCCATAGACGGTTTTGGAGCCGTGTTGATGCAAAAATCACCAGACGGCGACCAATTGCATCCAGTATACTACATGAGCAAGAAAACGATGGATGCGCAGCGCAAATACACTAGCTATGAGTTGGAAATACTTGCGGTCATTGAGGCATTGACGAAATTTCGGGTGTATCTTTTGGGCATACCATTCAAGATTATAACGGACTGCAACGCGTTCACCAAAACACTAGAGAAACAGAATCTATGTACAAGGGTGGCCAGGTGGATAATGCTTTTGCAGGAGTACAACTATAAAGTTGAGAATCGTGCAGGATCCCGAATGCGTCACGTGGACGCACTCTCACGATATCCCGTTATGCACATAAGTGACGGAAGCATTTTAGCTGGCATAGAACAGGCGCAAAAACAAGACGAACATTTGAAGACGATCATGAAGCTCATCAGCGATGACAATCAACAATACGACGACTACTTTATAAAGTCCGGAATTCCTTACAAATTAGTCAAAGATGCTGAATTGATGGTGGTTCGAAGGGATATGCAGAAAACTATCATCGGCAAGGCTCACGATAGAGGTCACTTTGCTATCAAGAAGACGAAGGAGTTAATCTGCAAGGAGTACTACATACCAAATTTAGACGACAAAATCAAGAAGTACATCGACTTCTGTGTACCTTGCATATTAATCAACCGCAAGCGAGGTAAACAAGAAGGTCTTTTGCACCCCCTGCAAAAAGATGACGTGCCGTTGCAGACGTACCACATTGACTTTTTGGGTCCACCAGAGTCAACCAGCAAGAGCTATAAACATATACTAGCTGTTATCGACGCTTTCACGAAGTTTTGCTGGTTATACCCTACAAAGTCAACTACATCTAACGAGGTTATATTAAAGCTACGCAGCCAAAGCGTGACGTTTGGCAACCCTGCTTGTATCATTTCAGATAGAGGCTCAGCATTTACCGCCCAAGACTTCCTGCAGTACTGCGAAGACGAAAACATCAAACTGGTGAAGACGACTACAGGACTTCCACGGGTAAACGGACAGGTGGAAAGGCTCAACGCAGTGATCATCTCCGTGCTTGCCAAGCTCAGTATAGACGACCCTTCGAAATGGTTTAAGCACGTAAATCGAGTCCAGCGAGCAATAAACTCAACATACACCAGAAGCATCGATACCACACCTTTCGAACTTTTGATGGGTGTCAAGATGCGTACCAAAGATGACCAGCAGCTTCAGAGTTTGATCCAGAAAGAGTCCATCATTGCATTTGAAGACGACCGCAATGAGCTACGGGCAAAAGCAAAGACTCAAATTCTGAATCTGCAAGACGAGAACAAGAAGACATATAACCTGCGACGTAAAGCAGCCAGGCAGTATGACGTTGGCGACCTAGTTGCCATAAAGAGGACTCAGTTTGGTAGCGGACCCAAACTAAAACCGAAGTTTTTGGGTCCGTACCAGATCATTAAGGTGAAACATAACAATGCTTACGACGTCAAAAAAGTTGGCAATTCCGATGGGCCTAAGCACTCTTCTTCGTGTGCGGAGTATCTGAAGCCATGGTCCACGAGCAACGACGAAAAAAGCGACGATGCATTCGAGGCGAGTGCATAGTCAGGACGGCCGGATGTGGGTTGTGTTTTGCAAATCCCTAGACAAAACGAGCGTGAGCGTGCTTGCACAACAGCAAGCACGACCGATGGCGAATTAAGACATCTGCACAAAGCAGATCGAGAAGAGAGAGGCCGAGAGAGTTTCGATCCAGCTGCCGACGTGAGAGGGTTGTGGAAAGAGACCAGACGACGAGCGACGCTTAAATTCTATTTCTTGTACCAAATACTATATTTCAACTTTTATTAAACTTACTATTAAACCAAAACCCCCACAATTATTCTACACTTTTCCTACCAACCATGATACCGATTTTTTAGATAGGCTCCAAAAATGATAAATTAGGAAAAGAAATAAATAAAATGTAGCTTTGCATAATAATTTTTGGCATTTATAATTATTTTCATTTTAATTTTTGTATGCCAACAATTACATGTTGGTCCGAGGAAATGTATTAAAATACGAGAAGGAACGTGTGAGTCGCTTCTGTGGACGCAACTCTACTCTTATACCCGTACTGTGAGCTTGTGATTTATGTGGAATTTTAAAAAATTTTACATTTGACATTTTTTTGCTACATCTGTTATCTACATCTAAATTAACAATGTCGATTCCATAATTACAATGTTGATTCCACATCTAAAATGTAGATTCTACATTAGGCTGGGTAACAATTTTTTTTTTTCGAAATTCAAACGGGACACCCCCTCGTTTTGTAACCTTGGATTTAATAGTAATTTACATGTTTTTATTTTTATTTTTTTTTAAATTTTAGAAGTTGCTACCTAGTTTTCAAAAAAATAATTATAATTAAGAAATTTCAAACAAAATTTTTTTGCTGAATGAGTTGGATAATTGGTGAAATCTATTGCATATATATTGATACCATTCATATCGTCATTAATCAGTTATTGGCAGTAAAAAACCAGCTGAGTATCTTGATTTTCACCAATCGTTAATTTTTTAACATAACTAAAAAAAAAACGAGAAGGAACGTGTGAGTCGCTTCTGGGGACGCGACTCTATTTATACCCGTACTCAGTCAGTATATATATTTTTTAGCATATGATTTTTTAGAATTTCAAAATTTAAAAAATACAAATTTTGAATTTTACATTTTTTTTCTACATCTGATATCTACATCTACAATGTATATTATACATCTAACATGTAGATTATAGATGTACCATTCATATTCTACATCTCATCCGCTAGGGGTTGTTCGCGCACTGTACGCGGCAGAGTGTGCGAGCGAGATAGAGAATGAGTAACCTTTCTCTTGCAGGAGTGGGCGGGGGAAGAAACTGAAAATAAATTTCTTCATTCTGGCTATAATTATGATCCGACCTGATTCAGATTCGACAATCTAGTAGATATAAGCATTCTCTACGATACTGTGTTTTTAGTTTTATCGTATCTTTGAAATTGTGCCTGCCACAGATTTTCGTTCTTTGTGGGGGCGGAAAAGGGCGGGGCGAAATTTTGAAATACACTTGTAGCAGCGTGATATCACATGAGTCAGGAAACAAAAATTTGGTTGGTCTATAGGTCTATGGTTTGGTCTTATAGTCTCTGAGAACTAGGCGCTCATCAAGACGGACAGACTGACAGACAGACATGGCCATATCGACTCGGCTATTGATGGCGATCAAGAATATATATACTTTATGGGATCGGAAACGTTTCCTTCTCTGCGTTACACACATCCACTTTTACCACAAATCTAATATACCCCTTCACTCTTTTTTGAGTACGGGTATAAAAATTATCAGGGGTGCCACAGAAATCACTTCCGCTGGAAAATCACCTCAATTCCATTCCACCGTGCCACACACCGATTTTTCAGCGGAATCAAAATCGCTCACAATTTATCCAGCGATTTGATTAAATACACCCATAAAACACACCTAAAACGATTCATGGGTTAACCCTCATTCAAATAATTTTTCATTACACATGTTGAGTTAATAAAATAAGCATTTTAGCAAATCACTATTCAATCCGCTGTCTGAATTTTCACTTAACGATTCCGCTCTCAATCCGCTGCAGAGCGAGGTGGCCACCTAGGGCGATTCAGACTTTCGAAGTTAATACAGTAATGCCACCTTTTTTAAGTCGAATTCGGAGCAATATATCTAATATTAATTATATTGAAAGTATTCTGTTTTTCTTTAATTAAGCATTAGAAAAAATAGCTCATTGTAGTACAACTTCCTTTACGTCAAACGTGTGCAAATTGTGAAAACATTTGTAGTCATTTGTAGTTCCACCAGGTGGCATCGCTTCAAAATGTCAAAACAAAACTAACAAACCATTTCTACACATTATTGCCATTGCATTTATGTCAAAAACCCCTGTTCGGCTAAGCGCAGATCCATGGCAGCACAAATAGAAGCATAGCGATCATTACACCAAAAATTGGTAATTGTAATGAACTAAATTAGCAGTAGTTTGAGAAGACAATCACAAAAACCACATACGTATCGTCTGAACGTGAAAACGAGTCCGATGCGCATCTGAGAAGCCTGTCTGTATTCTAATATGTTGCCTCCGTAGTTCTTCGATGGCCAACAGTCTCGTTAAAGGCATTTTAATTAAGTTTACCGTAAAATTCAGATGTGTATTTTTTTTAACAGCTGATTGCTGCCATGCATGGAGAGTTGCCAGACAACTGCTAGAGTTGCTGAGTACATTGTTTTGTTTGACTCGCACGATATGGGATGTTTTTTTTGCTTTGAAATTATAAAAGTACAGCTTTGAAAAATCCATTATTTTATATCATAAAAGGAAAAAAATTAAAAACCAATTGTTTTGATATGATAAAATCAATAAAACTGCAAAATGAACCCTACTCGAATTGAATCTTCAAAGGTGTCAACCCTAGCCTTATTTCGAATTTGAATTTTGAAGCGGAAATCCTTCGCGCGGTTTCCCATTTCATTAGTGATTTCTGTGGCACCCCTGTATATTTATTTTCGCAATTTTTTGCTGCGACTTTCTACCGTGAAGAAATGTTGAGGACCACCCTATACAGTGACACTAACCATACAGTATATAGATGTGCCAGTTCATATAACTAAAGGGGCGCAGCTGAGGTTTCTGTCCCAGCTCCCCAGGTCTTCGGCTATT